TGAAGCCAGTGTGGACGTACGGCATCCAGCTTTGGGGAACAGCTCCAGCAATTCCAACATAGAGATCCTGCAACGCTTCCAGTCCAAGTGCCTGCGAACCCTGGTGCAGGACCCCTGGTACGTGACGAACGCACTGTCTTGTATATCAATAGTTTATTTTCGAGGGATAGTTGTAATCTTCTTCCGATCAGCCAGTACAACTTCCCGAAATTAATGCCCAGTTGTTTCCTCTTCGTTGATATGTGCTTCTTCCACGTGAGTCGGCAATCCAAGAACAAGCCGAAGTATTTGGCATCGTCGGCCTGCGGGATGATTTTGTTGTTCAGTGTGACCGAGGGACAGGTTCCCTTTTTGAAAGTGAAGGTGACATGGCTAGATTTGGTTTCGTTGACTTTAATCCGCCACTTCCTGAGCCAACCCTGATACGCGTCGAGATGACTCTGGAGTCCACGCACAGCAAAAACCGGATCCCCGTTGGACGAAAGGATCGCGACGTCATCGGCGTAGGTAGCTATAGTGGTTTCCTGGGATGTCGGCAGGTCGTATGTAAATAGGTTATACAACACCGGTCCCAAGATGCTTCCCTGCGGCACGCCCGACCCGATTGGATACAGCTGTGTTACTTCACCATCCATCTTCACTTGGAAGAATCTATCACATAAAAACGACTTTAATATGTTGTAAAAGGTATGAGGCAGCGTGCTCTTAATTTTGTAGAGCAAACCCGCGTGTCACACTTTGTCGAAGTCTTGTGTTATGTCGAGGAATACAGCGGAGCAAGTCTGCTTATTAATCATTTTTATTTTTCCTAAAGGTTTACATACAAAAATAAAAAAGTAGACATGAACAAATAATTATGAAGCAATAATATTCTAAAGATAAAGACTTATAAAGTGTGATTTGTGTTTATTATAAATATTTTTATTTTATTCAATATTTTTATGATAATTGTTGTTCCATAAACTGAAAAATGGAAAAAGTAGAGGTATCTATTATTAAAAACTGTTACCGGTACCAAAATTGGAAGAAAAAATATACAAAAACATTAATTGACAATCTACTTGACAAAAGCAAAACAACAGAAATACTAAAGAGATAAATGACGCTTGATTTTCCGTTGAGATTTAACAAGATGAGGGAAAGTTAATAATGAGGAGATCTTTATTAAAATAACTAAAACAAATAAATATAGAAAATTTATATGTGCGGAGTTTCTTGATAAAGTATAAACTATGTCGACATTTTTAATTACCGTTTATGTATTAAACACTTTTTTCATCGATATATAAACTAACCTGTTCATTTGGTAATAATAAAAAATATTTAAATTAACACATTTTCCTCGAATATCCAAAATTATGCATGGTATTATCTTCAAACGATCTCAGTTCTATCACAAATGAGTAGAAAAACTGATAGAACGTCTATAAGAAATTATAAACATTGTATATGAACATACTTATTGATTTTGTTGTTAAATGCTTTTACAAATTAAAAAAAACGTTATAAATATATTAATTTCTATTATTGTTTTATTTGTTCTTTGATCCAATCAACGTAGTTAGCGATGCGGGCAAAAACTTCTGGATATCCTTTCATAGCACAAGGCATGAAAGACCATGAAACGACTCCAATTTGAACTCCGTTAACGGTCAATGGACCTCCAGAGTCTCCCTAAATGTAATTACAAAAAAAATTAAAAACAAAAATAAATCATCAAAAAACTCATATACTCACACTACACTGTCCTTTTCTACCTCCAGGAACACCGGCGCAGATATGGAATTGCCTATTGGTATTTCCGGCGATGGCAGCTTCACAATTTTCATCCGTGTAACATATTATATCTACACGTTGTAAAGATCCTGCAGGGTCGCCTTGAGCCTAAAAATAATGAAACAAGTTTAATTCTGATTAATATTAATCAAATTATTCTCTGATACAGGCGTATCTTGTAACCATAAAACGCACTTTATTAAGTAGGAAAATGACTTTAAATTCGAATAGTGCTTAATATTTGTGCAATTATTAGTAATGTAGTTGCAATTATTTCAAATCAACATATAAAAAAATGATATTTATAAACTCTTCAAATTTAAAAAGTATATACAATTAGTGCTGCTATTTTCACAATTATTAACTAATTTGTATATTACTTACCGATTTAAGTCCCCATCCTGCCAAAACTGCTTCTTCATTTCCTGGAGTTTTGCTAGATTGTTCGGGCAGTGAAACAGGCTGAGTATTATCATCGAATGGAATTTCGCTTGCTAACTAATAACCATACATATTTTTAAACTTTATTTAATACATCTATTACATATACTACTTACAGTCAATACAGCAATATCGCTTATATAAAACTTAGATGGATCATATCCCGGATGCACGTGAATCTCCTTTACTTTAATAATCTTCTTAGACGAACTGTTCAATATCAGATCACCATAGTGGATGGAGAATACATTCGGAGGACTAAGACATAAGTTTAATATTAAAATATCTGAACTGTATATATTTATTCAATAACATATATACCGAGATTCAACACAGTGGGCCGCTGTCAAAATATGAGTGGAATCCAATATAGAGGCACCACACAAGTGTGATCCATAAAAACTAAGGGAAACCTAATTATAAAATTATTAATAATATATAAAATAAATAATAAGGTGACCAATTTTCTTTTACAATGAAAAGGAGGACGAAAAATGTAAAATGTAAATTAACGAAACATTTTATTAATTAATATTTTTTGTCAATAAATATCATTCATATTGTCCAAAAATCATTACCAGTTAAAAAAAACTATGTAAATTCAACACAAATAACTAAATTTTCATATGAAATGTGTTAATTTTTAAATGGTTAAGTATTTCCACTCATCTTTTATAAATTTCAACATGTTGATTTATCAGAATTTAAATATACATTCAGTCTTCAAACAGACAATTGTCATCGTTTTTAATATCATCGATAAAATATCGAAGGGGAATAGGTAGGACACTTTTCGTGGAAGGATAGAACATAAAAAAGGAGGACGATTGGTCACCTTATTATAAATATACAGAATGTAGCGTAAATTCAAAGAAATGTAGAATAATGAATGATTGATTAGAGATTGGAATGCAAAGTGATAGTAGATGTAACATATTGGATAATAGAAATACAGTTACTTACAATATATGGAATTTCACCTGGCTGAGCTTGAGTTCCATTTACAATTCTTTGTCCAGTTGGAGATGCTTAAAATCAGAATACAATTTATATAAAAATAAAATTTACTTTAATTAAAATCGATTAATTGTATAACTAATAACTAAATCTAAATGTGAAATTATTGAACAAAATAAAAAGTTTTTTTAAGGTGTTTGAAATACTTCCATTACCAATATTCTTGCATATTTTATATATCTATTACACTTAAAATTCAACTTTACACAAGTTGTTCAATTAAATTGATTAATTATTATTGAATATAGTGTTTCAAAATATATCAAAATAAATATTTTTTTTATAGAAAACAGAATTATTGATGTTTTTATATAATTGAATTATTTTGTGATTATTTATTAATATTATTTATTATATTACTTGTGCATCCAATAAGTAGGACACAACACGCGATAAATCGAAACATCTTTTTTTTTATTATATAAATCTGACTTTCTCACTTATATGGATGAACACTCAGTGGAAACATTATCGGTGCTAAGATAAAAGCATACTTATTGAAAATATTTTATTATCTCATCGAGAAATACTGATTTAATTATTTCAAAAGCGCTAAATCATCAAAATAGATTTATATAAAACAATACCATTTTCTTATAATTGACCAAAAGATTGTAAAAAAGTATTAAATATTTAGTCCTCTTCATATGTAAGAATACAAAACGGAGAAAGATTACATACCTAATGTCAACCGCGATCTTAAATTTACTCAATATTCACATTGTGAATAAAATTACACGACATAAAAAAATATATAAATTATTGTTCATCATCTTCCAGTGGTGGAACTATAATAATATGCTGGAACTCGCAGTGTTTACGACTGATTTTTCGCTAAATCTACATAGGAAATTGTGAAAATTTTAAGAATAAAAAATTCGCTTAGTTTTACAGACATCATTGTTGTTGTTTCTGGCTGCTCCTAGCCTAACATGGCAATAGCTGAAAAAAAATCAAAAATTGATGACAAATGTTTGCAAAATCTATTCATATTAAGAATTAAATCAAAAAACCGTCAAAAATGTGGAAATAAAAAATATGATTAGTTTAATACATTATAATATTTCAATGATTATATAGTATAATATTATTACCCACTGCTTTGAAATAATTAACACATACATATTTTACAATAAAAAAAAGTTGTTCCTGTTTATAATAAAAGAAAAATTTTGTGCATAAATCTTTTTTTGTTAATAATTTACTTTGCCTTTAATTAAATTTTACTATATTTTAAAATAATTACAGGAATCTTTACAGTTATCATTTCTACATCAGATCGATGCTATATGAGAAGTTCAGCATAAATCCAGAGATGTCCCTGGCTGTGTGCGATGCTGGACGAGCTGGGATGAAAATCAATGCAGGTCATTCACACCCTTCAGCTTCATTTACTTTGGCTCGCAAAAGTGCTTGCTTTTGCAAGTTTCACGCTTTGAAAATTCCAACATATCTCGCCTATTGAATCTGACACACAGCCCTTCCACTCCTTTCACACAAACATTCGCCGCCCTTTAATTATTAAACGAATTATTTTCTAAATTATTTTTTTTAAACGTAAATAGAAAGTCCCAGAATTATATTTTTTATTCTCGCACTGTTTTATTCCACCTCTCTCTCTTTTTCCCTCGCTCTTTTTCTCTCCATAGAGACTGCAAAAACGGAAATTTATCTGTGGTTATGAGGCGGGAATAAGTAGAAAAAAGAATCAAACAAAATTGTATGGATGAAAAAAAAAACTTTATAAAATTCTCGCCTCTGAGGTAAAAGTAATTATAGTAATTAAAGTTTCTTAGCCAACATTAATGAAATACGTGGTCGGAATTGGTTTTACAGAATAAACGCGCCTCATTCACCACGTTTAGAACGGTCTTAATAATGAACAGGCAGGATTAAGCCATTCAACAAACATAACGAATGGGCTTATTGAGTATTGACCTTTTCGCACATGCATTAAATGAAATATTAATGGGAGGTAGAAAAAAACAAGAGTGCAGAGTACGCGTTAAAATGTGAATGCGAAGGTAGAGCATCATAAAGCTATTATATGGGTCATAAAATGTACAGGGACTTGCGTCAAATGAGCTTGTGTCCGGATGCTGTAGTAAAACACTTGTATAGAAAAACGAAACTTTAAAAATTAAAATGAACTCTCGTGCGCGAATCTCTGGGGATCTCGAAATACCAATTCGGAATATCGATTCGTTAGAAACAAATTGTTCACCCTATAAACACGATTGCGCATGAAATTACTAGATTTATTACATTGTGCAATGTCCAAATACTATTAGAAAGTATATACAAATATTGTTTTTTTTATTAATGTTTTTATTGGTTTTATATTTAATGCTATTTCAGAGCAATATATTTTCAAGAAAAAACACTCCAACCCGCTCATTATATTATTTATCTACTGTTTAAAGTTCTATGATTTTTTCTTTTTCAAATCAAAGAGGGCATCAATTAAATATGCTTAGTGCCATCAATTTTAAATTGGTCCGTGTACTCCAAATTCATATTTGCTTTTAGCCCCATATATTTGAAGTTCCGCCACTGACTTTAAGATGATTATCTCAAAGATAACATTATCACATCATTATTATCTTTTATGACTTTTCCAAAAATATTATAAAAAATATTATCTATTTCCGAGAAATCTGTAATCTAGCTTATCCTACTCATACCAACCAATTTGATCTGTTGGAAACTACTGTTGATCGGTCAGTTTCCTATGATATAAAAAAAAGGGTCAAGATTCATCCTTTGAATGATTATTTATGTTAGCTTCAATTATCAAACATTTGATTTAATTTATCATTTTATAAACGATTATAATAAAGAAAAAACTTAAAGAACTATTCGAAACGCGGAAATACCTTTATTAATTTTGCAAATAAATAACGTAATTGATTAGTAAATATTGTCAGTTAGAATGGATACAAACATATATTTGTTAACAGTATTCCATGAATAGTTACCAATAGCTTCTTCTCATTTATAGTCAAGTTGCTTGTGTAGTTGATTTTAATGTGGGTTTACATCAAACTATGGTTTGTTAGTTGATAGACAAGCGAACAGTCTTGTATTTTAAAGATGTATTACAAAATCACGTAAAGTATTCTATAAAGTACACTTTCTGGTGTATATTTGAAATGCTAACGTAATAAAAAATATTGCGTTTGAAAAACAATTTTTTATCTATATTATCAAGCTATCGTCAATAGATACACGTTAACTTGTAGTTTTTTTTCTATTTTTTTTGTAATATTTTTCAAATATTTAAAATGTTGCAGTGAAAGAACATTTCATATAAGACTAAAAATAAAGATGTACAAAAATATAAAATCCAAAAGGGAAACAACTTACATATAATGTTGAAAACAAATATTTAGCAAATAATGCTTTGTTTCGAGTTATAAATTATGCTTAAAATCATCAACAAATAGTTGTTTGCATTTGATAAAGAAAGTAAGTCTGTAGGAATTAAGGAATTATACCACGAAAGTTGAAGGATGGTAGACGTTGCTTGCGATAACTTAATTACATAAGAGCACTTTGATCAGCGAGCATCGGAAATACATTCAACTGATTTTCTGTTTAATCTTCCACTTTAATGAGGAGACTTCGAATACAAACAAGATCCCCCAAAATCGTATAATCCTTGGAGGAACCGTGCAGTAAAAATAAAAGGGACACTGGAGGATCCTGTACTTATTTTTTCCCAAGCGAATGAAAGCTCATTAAAAATTTGTTGTTTTTTTGTTAGTTAGGTTCCGTTTTTATTGTCGAGACTTCGACGACTCGTTGACACGGTTTTGGTATCAAATTGGAAACTTTAATGCGATATATCTTTTCATATGAGCATAAAATAATTATTCGGAAAGTTTCCTCTAGAGTGAATGGGCGGAAAATGGGAGAACGACGAGGAATGAAATATATATCGACGTTAAAACTGGAGTTTAAGTGTGTTTGAAAATGCGGCGAGACAGTGGGAAGGAAATGCAACCTCTTGCCAATGTTGGCAGCCTTGGTTTGGCTTGGCGTAGCTTAGTTTGGTAGCTTGTAGGGGTATCCGAGTTGCATGCCCAGTTGCGACGATAATTTCAGAATTACCTCATTACAATGCTATCGGAAATCCATTAGTTGCGAAGCTGGAGGCTGTTATTTTCCTATTAGCGAACTATTAAATCACACGCTCGCTTTCATTTACTGTTTCTAATTGGACCTAATGCATTCATTTTTAATTTGCATCTGCAATTACTCATCCAATAGATTACATCAAACATATAACACGACTAGTTGTATTTATTATAGATTATTACATCTGAAAATGCTCGCATTTGTAACATTAACAATTATTCAGAACAAAAATGGTAATAAGAAATTAGAAAAGGACTTTAAGCATTTGTAATCTATATGTTCAAGTTTAAGAAGAACCAAAGAACGTTTAGACCTGATTTAAGTAGAGCAACTTTGGACAGAATAATAAGAATGAAAGATTAACATTTTTGTTTCTCCATTTCCCGAAAATCTGTATTTCTGTGTTTTGATTAAAATTAATGTAATTCGTCATACAAATTTATTATATTAATGTTAAAAATTACTTAAGTTAACATATAAATATATTTTATGAAATTATAGTCTAGTAAATATAATTTTATAATTGGAAATGCATTTTATGTTTGATTATTAAAGTATGAAGTAAAATTAATATTCAATTACAAAAAAAGTTTGTTTTTTAATCTTTGTTCCAAACATTTTCAAAAAGATTGTATAAAACTAAAATATTCTATATAATTGAATATCTCCAAATCTCCGAATTGATAAATTTTATGTCTCGAAAATCAATGACAGTTCGCACTAAAAATGAGAAAATACTTGAAACATGAATAATCTGAAAATATAATAAATCTGATACGAGTAACCTTTACTGCATTTAACATAAACAATATAACAAAAAAAACTTGTTATTACATTACATTATTTGTTTGAGATAGTAATATCGGGCTTT